GTTTATTCTGCACATACCAGGACCCCAACTAGAACTGTAAATATCAATGTATTGAGGAGCATGTCCCAGAGCCTTGGCCTCGAGCACGTCCGTTACATCGCCATCGATCAATCGAATACCTCCGATCCGTGCATTGTACGCGACACCTACGCCACACACGTCGTTGTCTTCCTGTGCCGCAATTTCGCCACTGCACCGTGTTCCGTGCTTGTTAATGGGATCTAGGAAAGATACAATGGTTGGGATATTGTTTGAATATTGTAGTAATAAGTTATGAAACTGAAACAATGCACCCATTAGTGTTGGATATCAAGGGCTTACCCTTACATGTAATGGATCTATGAGGACGTTATTCAATGTGTTGGATCTGAGGAATGTCATAAATTTGAAGGAATTGTGTATTTGGGTCGTCAATGCGGGTGCTGCTGTAGATGTCTAGGTTGCCGTATGATGGGAAAGCGGAATATGGGAGTCTCAGACAACACACTGCACTTGCCCAATACTTCATAGGCGAGCCCTGATCACAAGTCCAGTAAGGGTACTCGTCAGAATGAGCGTGAAAGCATTTTCACACACTGATAGCTGAGTGCAGGATACTTGTAGATCTTTCTGCTCAAGAATCAATCACACCACCGTAAATCCTTATCACAGGTCCTATCAACATGCTCGTGTATATTTTCATGGAAGACACACAAATGTCCCATCGAAATCTTAACGGCTTGCGCTTTTGTCCACTAATTCTGCATATAAGATGAACCACAATCACGGTGATAGCGAGTGCTCGAGACTTTGAACTGGTTCGTGGCACGGACATGGTGGTTGCCTTTGACATCAGTTTACCTTCTTCGCGGGGAAATGGATCGTCATCCATTGAGTTAAGGTCGTAGCTCGCCGCGGCATCGTACTGCCTCGATAAGTCAGGATGTGTGTGCTCAATCCCGTCGTCCACCACTGTGACCACCACACCTTTGCCCGTGACTCCCTGTTCCCACAGAGGAATGACCCTCAGATCCTATACACAACCAGAAAATGAACCATTTAATCTCAAGACGTCAAAAGTAAACGGTGTTTGTCAGCGTGGTGTTTAGAGTATGATTCAACGCGAAGTATGCCAGGCGCCCGCATTGGATTTCACAGTCCGAGCTTCGGTTATACATCAAGAATTTCGCAGCTCAAACGCCAACCGGAATTAAATGGTCAGATTAGACTACGGATTCATCCGCGCGTGGTTTACAAGCACATCTGCATCGATGATATCGGGGACCAGTTGAGTGTATCAATACAGAATAACGGTAGTATACGAACTACCTCGGAGTTATAACGAACACTAATTATAGTCATCAAGTAAGGAAAACCCGTGGGGAACTCCAAATCTGCGTTCAAGTAATCTTCGCGTATAGTTTGCAGTACTATGCTCACTTCCACACGCCCTTCAGTGACTGTTTACTCTATTGCAGCGTTTGTGGAGTTAGTTGAGGATCGAAACGAGCCTCATGTGAAAGATCACCCCGGTAAGAGTACTCCAGCGCAAGCATACTTTCTGAGCCAATTATACGTACAGCATGACTATCCGAAAGCCATGACGAGGTTATTAACTTCTGTGTCTATGAGCATTGTTCCACCACATACCGAAACACACCTCATTGAGTTGAAGTAAAACACACACACATGCCACACCCACATCGTATTATGTGCCCTATATACATCTATCTGTGCAATTCTATATGAGCAAGTGTTCAAGGTATTTACAAGTTAAGGATAGTTTACATGTTTCATCCATGTCTGACCTGTTCGTTGTTATGGAAGTGCCACTGTTCGGCGAACTTGGGATCCCTGTAGTAATGCTTCGTATCCTCCACGGGCAGTCGCGCGTGTTCGCTGTGAAACTCATAGTCCTCCAGGGGCTCCTGTGTGTCTGCAGCAATGTCAGATGTACAAGCGAATGACTCCTCAAACGTTATAGGCGAATACGTTATATCAGATTAACCACACAACCCTCCAAGCTACAATTAAAGAGCTTAACCGAAACTTGTACGTAATAAACTCGCTATAAACGATTAGCAAAGTTGGACCGAAAGTTGGACTTTTTGTGCTCACACAAGTATCTTTGCTATAAGCAATTTGTAAAGCTGGTCCAAAAAAAAAAACTGACCTGCCGAGCTCCGACCTTCACGCTCATCTACATCAACAACCTCTCCATCCCGGCGGTGTCGTTGCACCACGTGTTGTTGCATCACCCAACTCACCTACAGCGTAATTTAAACACAACTGCAAGTTGAATATCAACGACTGAATCTACCGCCACACTGCAGTGTTGCACCACATATTTCAAATGAACTGCTAAAACAGGGAGAAACTTAAAGGCTTATATTTAGTATCAGTCATCTGTTCTATAGCGTATACATAGCAAAGGCCTACTGCAAAGATTAAAGTGTTTCCGTTATACTACATCACCCATCTCACATGCAATGCAGGCGAAGCGGAGCATCACTTCACCCTGAGAAAATACACAATTATAAAGCACCTCCCACACCATTTGTAATGTAGGTAGGGAGTGAGTGATACTTTAATAGAACTGAGCAACTCGAATAATATGCTGTTCTCACCCATACAGTCTATGAACTAATGGCCAGGAGAACGATTTGAATTTTACAACTGATCTTTGAATGCATCATACTACCGGGATCACCAACAATTGGATAGGTCAATAAAATACGAACTCATTCATTAAGTTGAATTTGTAATAGATAATCATACATACTCATAAATGAGGAAATTCTACACATTCCATACATCTTCGTGTGCTTGTGCTAAATCCACAAAGCCATCGTCGTGGTCCAAAGCGGCCCTTCGCCTAAGGCAGTGGACTGGTTCTTCCAGTGTTTGATGATCAGCGCAGTCTGTGCGGCGCATATAGTGGAACATGTTCTCCATCGGACCCACCTGTTGAAACAGTCAGCAAACAGTTCAGGTAATGAGATGAGTAAAAAGATAACTATGTATATAAATATATATATATATATATATATATATAAAGTTCGGGTAATGAGCTGAATAGAAAGATAATTATGTATATACATATACATATATATATATATTATATATATATATATATATATTTATAGATTTCAATATATATACATATATATACTTACATAAAAAATAGATGT